ACAGAGCTCTGAGTACTGTATCATACTACACACTTTGTCAGGGACACAGGAAAATAGAAGCAGGGTGAGAGTATGGCCATCCGTAGGTATTCACAGAGGATTGGTCCAGGTAATCCTTTCCCAGCCTGCCGACACCAAAATCTGAACATGCTTCAGCCCCTTACAGAAAATGGTATAGTATTTGTATATAATCTGCCCTGCATAATTTAAATCTTTCTAGATTACTTATAAAACCTAATACAGTAGAAATGCTATATAGATATTGTTCTGTATAATTTAGGGAATAATGTACATGTTCAGTACACATGCAGATTTTTTCCCTGGATGTTTTCTGTCTGAGATCAGATGAAGCCACAGCTGCAGGACTCATGGATAGAGACTGCCAGCTGCATGGACCTCTCAGACAGGTGTGAGCATCACCAAATACCTGTCCTTACTGCTATTGTGGGATTTTTTTTTTTTTTCAGTATTGAGGATTGAACCCAGGGCCTTTGCACTGAGATACATCCCCAGTCCATTTGTTATTTTTAAATTTTGAGACAAGGTCTTGCTGAGTCACTAAATTGCACATAATGGGCTTGTACTTCTCATTCTCCTGCCTCAGTCTCCCTGACTTGGGCATTATTGATCTATATAGCCAATAATTATTATTGGCCCACCTTCTATTGAAGGATTTTAATAATTTGTGCTGCAAAACTCCCTCACAACCTGCAATTGAAGAGTTCCGTCTTGTAAAGCTAAGGAGGAGCTTAGCTCAAAGGACTGGGCCAGTATTCCATGTGACGCTGCCAAGTGCAATGAACAAGACATCAGTCCCTTTGCTAGGAGACGCGAAACAAGAACAGGCGGGCAGGCCTTGAACATTTTAATTACCTCTTCCTGAACAATAAAAGGGGAATCAGATCTTCCTCCTGCAGTTGCTCATTATTTCATTCCCATAAATAACCTTGAACTCTTACCTTAAGACGTAAGCCTTAGGCTTTTGCTTTCATCTGTGTTCAAGTTCCAACGATTCTGTTTTAGAAGAAAATGAACAGAGCTTTCCTTTGGTTGAGATGCAAATATTGGAACCAAAGGATATTAAAGCCTTGTTGCTTTCTTGAAAGATTTTTAAGGGCTTTAAGATGCCTCCTGGAAAGGATGACTAAAGGTATTACAGTATCCTAGATAGGATCATGGAACCAAACAAGAATATAAGCTAAAAATCTGAGGAAATGTAATTAGCTTCGAACTTTATAATAATAATCTATCATATTGCTTTGTGAGTAATGTACTATACTATTGTAAGATGTTTGCTCAACATGAGACCGGTCTTTACCATTTTTCTGTAAATCAAAAAATAAGATTATTTAAAAGAATACTTCCTGATCTTATTGGTGATTCTGAAGATTAATTCTGTGGCAAGAGCAGCTCCAATAAAAAACCCGGGCATCCCAGTTAGGGCTAAATCAAGATGGTATACAAAATGGTGATATACAAAATACCACAAAATGGTATACAAAATAGTACATACCCAAGTCCAAATGAATTCCTTGGACTCTAACCACAGAGAAATTCTAGTTCTTTACCATGCATTTCAGAGATGCAAATGAAAAATAATCTTTTTATGGGAAATATATGCATTAACCTAGGAAAGGAGAGGCATCAAAGAATATTTTAGGAATGAGTCCTCTGTGTGTGTGTGTGTGTGTGTGTGTGTGTGTGTGTGTAGTCTTTGGCCTCCACTATGTTTTCTTATTTTCCAGTGGGAATTCTCTGGCTTTTCTTGCCTACCACCATGTCTCTTCCCCTCTCTGGCTACATCTCATCTTTCTGTCCTGTCACCGTTGCATGCCCACAGCTTGTAGTCTGGCTTTCTTCTCTTCATTTATCTACTTCCTTATTGATTGCACAAAACACTAACCAAGTTACAGCTCTACCTTCTAACCCAGTGATGGTGAACCTTTTAGAGTTTTCAGAGATAGAAAGAACCTGCTGCGGCACATGTGCCATAGGTTCACCACCACTTGTCCTAACCTCTTCCTCGAGGTTATATCCACCATTTTACTTGATAGTTCTTTCTGAGTATCGGATACACATCTGACAAACATTCACCTCTTGGCTCCCAAGAAAGTTCAAATTCATAAGAAGCAGGAAAATCCTACTGCATCAATATTTTGCTGTCCCTTAACTCTGTGCTCCCAAGGATAAATAGAAAAAATCATCATTGGGGGGAGATAATGTTCTTTAAAATTGAAAATAGGGAGGGATATAAATATGTTGAAAGCTGACTGAAATCGCAAACTATTTGTGTTTTTATTTATTAATAATACATGTAATGAGTATGTTATGGTTTATAACTGGGTGTCCCTCCAAAGCCTCATGTACTCAGAGGTGGGGCTTTGTGGATGGTGATTGGATTATTGGGGTGCTACATCTGGTGTGGTGTTGGAAGTTAGGTCAGAAAGGGAAGGTCAATGGATATATGACCTGGAAGTGTTTATCTCCTTGCACCATTTCGTTCCATCAGCTTCCTATGTGCCATAGAGGTGAGCTTCTCCCACCAGACTTTTCTACCATACTGCTTCTCCCTGGAGGCCACTGACCACCTTAGGTGGTCACTTTCTAAACATCTTCTAAAATGTGATCCAAAATAAACCCGTTCTCCTTTAAATTGTACGTGTTGGGCACTTTTGTCCCGCCAGTGAAGAAAATGACTGAGACAGAGTGCTTCTTTTGTGCAAGGTACTATTTTAAATTCTTCATAGCGTTTGATCTTTGCAGTGTTCTTAAAAGTAGGTATTATAATCCCATTTTCATATTAGAAAATGGAGACACAGAGAAGTTAAGTAACCAACCCATGTCCCAAAATTAGTTGGTAACAGTTAAGATTGGAACCCAGACAGCCAAATAAAGCCTATGGAGCCACAATGGAAATTCAGTGCCGTTCCCCAGCTGAGGAATACATGCAGATGCAAACGATATTCCACACTTTGTATCCCAGGACAGAGTGTGGCTTTTAACTGAAAAGTCTATGGAAATCTCATGCTAAGTGAGTCAGAAGCAAAGGAATGAACTGGGTTCTGTTACACATAAACACGTCAGAGACACTCTTTGTAAAAGAAACATTTGTGGATTCGATTTAAAAATAAGTTTTAAGTTCATCATCAGAACAGAGGATGGTATGAGCTGAGCACTGCTTCTGCAGAGATGGTGGACAGCGAGAAAGTGCTTAGAGAGCTGACCACCGGGAGAGCCTAACGGAAAGGTGTGCCGCCCACACCTTTCTACTCAGCGCAGGGCCTTGGAGGAAGGGATTTCTCCAGTGAGCCCAGCCTTCCAGGTTTGCACCTCAAGTCACTTATACCATGAGGGCTCAGACTTGTAATTCTGCCCAGCTGTCCATACAAAAGTGCAGGACAACTGCTTACCCACAGGCGCCGACCCTTACTGACTCCTTCAGACACAGACATTGAGTCTCTGGATGATAGATGGATTCTCTTTCTTCCTTCCTTCCTTCCTTCCTTCCTTCCTTCCTTCCTTCCTTCCTTCCTTCCTTCCCTCCTTTCTTCCTTCCTTCTTTCCTTCTTTCTTTCCTTCCTTTTTTTTTTGTGTGTGGTATTGAAAATTGAAATCTAGGACCATCCCACTGAGCTACACCTTCACCCCTTTTTAAAATTTAATTTTTAAAAATTTTGAGATAGGGTCTTGCTAAGTCTCTAAAACTGCCCTATCTGGGGTCCAGCTTGCAATCCTCCTGCCTCAGCCTACCAGAGTGTTGGAATTACAGGCTGGCCACTGTATTTTAAAAGCTGGTCATATGTAAGTCTCAAGAAATAAAAGACTCGCTTAGAAAACAAAGTTGGGAAATCCAAGTCAGCTGTTGAAAAGCACTCATTTTCATAAATACGTTATTGAAACTGTTATTTTCAGAAAATGCCCACTTTCTGTCACAAAAAATAATTAATGAAAAAATCTTGTTTTTCTTCCAAACATATTGTATTATTCAGTTAACAAAAAGCAAAAATTTCTCAAGAATCTGTTTTCATTAAAATTTTTTCAAAGTCTTTTTTTTTAGTATTTTTAAAGGATAAATTTTTCATAAATATTACAGACTATGCTTTTAGAATATTTCTCTCCCCAAAGTATACCAGTAAACATTTTGCTAAAACATATCCTGAAATATACTTACCAAAGAATAAAACTTATGCAGGACTGTGTATGGTCTATTGAGCTCTGAAACAAAAACATCCCTCTTATCTTGCCTTTATTATTCATTATTTATCATCTTATTTAAATAAAATGATACTTTTTTCCTGCTTTTGAATAAAACAATGATTTTTTTAAACAAAGTTAACTATCCAGTCCGAATGTTAGTGCTCATCTAAACTCAGTTTCCCCTTATCTTTCTATATCCTCTAATAAGTAAACTATAAAACTTAGTGTGTAAATAGGCAGTAAATATATTATTAAAAGATGTAAAGAGAGCAATAAAACAACACAAGGTGGTGCCTTGAGAGTTTTTTTTCTTTGCAGAGGCAATAAGAGATGTGACAAATTTTTCTTATTTAATTGCTAATTTAATATTGAAGATTAACAAAGACTAGTTCGTTGTTTTAAAATAGAAACAAGAAGCTCAGATTTCATGGAGCTAAGTCTTGTTTGCTTTAATTGAGTTTATCTATTTAGGGGCTAAATGAAAAGATTGTTTCATTCCTTGGTTTATGCCCTGAAAAGTGCTTCCTTTTAAAGGCAGAATCTTAGTTTAAAAAAAAAAAAAACAAAAAAAGCCAAACAGTTCATTCACTTGGAAGCCTAAAAATGAATTCCGTGACAGCCACCACCTATATGCATACATTTTGTCTGGGATATACAAAAGTGACAAGGTGGTGGCCCTGAAAGGGCTCTTCTAACTGTCTCTGAACTTCCTTGCCCTGCAGCAGCAATCCTGTAGCTCCTAAAAACTGTCTGTTAGACAAACGTACTTTCTTTTTCAAAAGAAGAGCAGAGCAGTTACTTACATCTTAGGGTTCCACGGTGGTGCCTTGTCTTTCTGTCCCTCAAGCCTCTGCCTGGCCGCTGATCCTTCACCCTGGCTTGACAGCTGGTTTCATCTGCAAGCCGGGGTGGAATGCGTGGTCTTGAACTTGCTGTTCTTTTCCGTTTTCGGAGGGCCAGCGGCCTGATCATTTCCATGGTAACCAAGAGGAAGTGGCTGGCCTACCAGTTTCATCAGCCACACAGCAGGACAGAACCTGCTGAACATCTTTCAGAGCTCTGAACTGGGTTGTTTCCAGAAAAAAAAAAAAAAAACAAAAACCACAGAGGAGACCGCTGCTGTATGCTGACCCCAAAGGGCTGACACAAATGGAAGAAATTTTACTTTAGCAGGAAATTAAATGGGTTAAAAGTAGACTCTCAAGACTCCTTGATGCTTTCAATCCCATGACTCCTTCCACTTTTTCTGGCCTGATGAATGGTTACTTATGCTAAGTGCCCATGCTAGTGTGAAAAGAACCTGCTCTTGTTCCAAAAACAAAATGAACTCATTTCAACTTCAAAGATGTATTTCTGTCCTCTGTCTGTTTTTTAGTTCATTTGTTTTTGAAGGTTAAAAGCCACAAAGCAAGAAGGTTGAAAAAAATATTCTGTATACATTAATCCAGTTGGGCAGCTGTTATATAACTATTGTAAATTAGATGACTTAAAAATACATTTATTTCTCAACATTTTCAAGACTTTGAAATCCCAGATCAAGGCTCCAGAAGATTTGCTGTCAGCCAGGCGCTTATGCTGCTGAGCTAAATCCCTGGCCCATAAATATGCTGTCTAGAGGGCCCATTTCATAGACAGTACCTCCTAGCTGTGTCCTCACGTGGTAGAAAGGAGAGAACTTTGGTCTTTTCAGTGCCTTTTAAGGGCACTAATACCATTTGTGAGAGCTCTACCCTTGTGACCTAATCACCTTCCCCAATTTTCCACAGAGGAGATTAGGCTTTGACTTGTGAATTTTGGGGAGTCAGAAACATCCAACCTTTAGTAGATAATACAGACTTATTTGTAAATGTGAACTAAATTATATGGATAATAGAGATGGAGAATAGTCTTGTTACCTAAAAACACAAGGAGATTAAAGCAACTTATGTATTATCAGTTGGATATTGAATATCCAATACTCTGTAGAAAAGAGCACCTCACTAGGGAAATTCGTTCATTTATTCATTCATATATTCTTCATCTAGTGAATCCTTACCACACATGTATTGTGCCAGGAGATTTAAAGGACGGGACTTAAGTGTCATGGCTCTTGTCTTCATGCAAGTTTTCTTGCAAAAAGGATGATTGTATAAGCTCACTACAGAAACTGTATGGAGAAAGGTAAATATACAATTTATGGATGTTTCCAAGAAGGTGGGGCTTTTCTTTTGCTAAGGAGATTAGAGAAGTCTTTCCTCTCGCGGCATTTGACACGGGCCCTAAAGCATGGCTAGGATTTGAATGGGTCAGATATAGGGGAAAAGGGCAAAAATGCCTCATGGAGTGATTCTGCTCAGATAGCGCTGACACACATAGTTTTCTAGGTGGACCAGGGGATCAAGGAACTCAAGTAATTAAGGGAATCACTGGAACAAAGGTTTGGAGATGGGAGAGTCCCAAGTCTAGTTAGTGTTTAGAAAGTTAGTGAATCATGATCAGGATCAAGGAAATTGAGAACAGAGTGTTTTTTCTAGTTCATGTGTAGTTTTTCCAGGGATACAAGAAAAGAAAAATATGGATCTTGGTTCAATCCTGATTCTGCTAAACTTTTGCATAATATTTAAACTTTATGAGCCTCATTTTTCTTATCTGTAGAGTGGAGGTGATAATATTTTCTGAAAAGTTGAGGTGAAGACCCTGTGAGATAATATGTGCAGACTAATGAGGATGAGAGAAGGAAAGACTGGCCCGCCATACACCAAATACCTCAAGTTTCTGGAACAATTACACTAATATAAGGGTCTGGTATACTCAAATCTTTGTTCCAGCACCTTTCCTTCCTCTACTTCCAAGGCTGGAGAACTACAGTGCTCGACTTACCAGGGTGTCTTGTAGCTGGGGCTCCAGACTTGATTTAGATATTATTAATCACTTGTGCTTACTTTGAAACTGAATCTTTGGAGAGAAGACCACGAGGCAGGTATGGGAACAGACATAAGTGGGGAGAGAGAGGACAGTCCTGGCATCTCTTTTTCTGGCAGCAGTTTCAGCAGTGGAAATGTGGCTCAGAAGTAGCCATAACTGAGGTGGCTTTCTGAGTGAGTTGCCTCCTGGTGGTGGCAAATGTGGCCTGAGCCTAGAGCTGAGGACTCTGGCACTAGCTCCCTGTTGGAGAGTTTAGGCCCTCAACTGAGCAAATTTCTGATGCTTAAGCAGCAGCAACTCTTGAGGTGACCCCATTCTGTGGTGACTTTCAGAGTTCATCCCAGAGTGCATTTCTTGAGCCCTCTCAAGGACTCAAGGAATGATGTGAATGTTTTAAGAAACTCCTAGTTGTGTTAAATCAGCCAGTGTAGACTCTGTTGTCTGTAGTGAAGAACCCTAAAAGACACACTGGTGAACAATTCTGGCCAGTCCAAGGTTAGAGGATTTCTGGTACTGCCTTATCTACTTCATTATATTACAAATTAACTAAGCTATGTGACATAATATGTTTAGTATAAATGGGACACAAAGAAAACATTCAACAATGGTGGCTAAACTAATTATGACCCTTGACTCTCTAGACTGCCGAGTGGGACACAGGTTTAACGCAGACCATGAGGAGGCAGCAGCTGGAGATTCGAGGGTCAAACCGCTGCTGATAAAAGGTGGCTGAGACCTGCATGGCAGTGTTAAATATTTACCACAGGTTTTACATCATCCTGTCATTTTAAAGCATTTACTTCCACTTACTTTGTTCGGTGCACTAGCCAGGTCATATAGTTTAAACTGATTTAGCAAAAACAAGTGTTGGGACTGCTCATAAAACCACACCTTAGGCAGCCTGTTCTATTCTACTGCAGCCTGCAGGTAGTGAACGAATGTTTGTTCACTATGTGGTTGAATTCCAGCTTTGTCCTGGATAAATTTTACTCTTTTTTTCTTTGCTTTTCTTTCTTTCTTTCTTTCTTTCTTTTTTTTTTTTTTTTTTTTTTTTTTTTGTCTTTTTTGAGACGGGGTCTCACTATGCAGTTCAAGCTGGCCTTGAGCTCACTTTGTAGCCCAGGCTGGTCTCGAACTCCTAATGATCCTCCCACCTCAGCCTCCCGAGTGCTGGCATTACAGGCGTGAGCCACCACGCCCGGCTAATTTTACTCTTTTTTTTCTGTAAATCACAAAAGCAAGGTAGGCTCCTTACAGAACATTCAAATTACATCCAGTGTGTTAAGTAAAAGTGAAATCACTAACCACCTCTGCAATGCATCTTGCAGAAGTAATACCTGGTTAGTCTGCACTGAAGCAAATCTTGCTTTGTTTTTAAATTTTAGCAGATGCTTTGGTTGTAGTTTATGTTGTAGTTTCCCTGAAATATTTTGTCCAAATGTCTCAGATTTCCTCTCTCATACTCATTCTACATGTAATCTCATCTAAAAATCTCTCCTACTACCCACTGAACTGCCTCCATGTCACTACCAGAATTTTTTTAATCCCTCACTTACCTTCCTTAGCCCTTCTATCAGAAGCTTCTATGGCTGTTTCTTCCATCCTGGGCCCTTTGAGAGCCGTCCCAGGCTTTCTCTGTCCTATCTGTCCATCCTCTTCTTTGGGTGACAGCAGCATGCATATTCTCAGCTCTACAGGATATTCATGTTTCACCTAGTGGCCTGGGTCTGCTCTAGACCTTGCCATCAGCAAAGGGCTCTGGAGAAATCTGCTTTCCTTGCCCATGCCGTGCTCCATTCCCATGGAAACCACTAGAAATTGGTGCCTCTGCCTTTCCCTCCTCTGTCCTACCCACTCTTGGCTCTCTGATCAGCTGCTTCCGTGCCACCCGAACCTTCCCTGAGAGGATTCACCCTCGCACCTTTGCTCAGTACTTCATGCCAGGTCCACTAAGGCTTGCCACTTGGTTTGCATTCTCTGATCCACTCTTAGAGTGCAGATCCTCATGAAAAAAGTATAAGGAACTAAAAGTTTCTACTGCTTAGCCTCAAATGAACCCGTACCTCCATCCCACTATTGTTTCAGTCAGCACTTGCTCAGAGGCTTTGATGACTTCTTCACTTGAATCAAATCCTCACTTATATCATTGTATCTTTGTTCATGTAAGAAGTCCTTACATCCAAGAGGGGATCAGCAACCTTTCTTGGACTTTCTTACCATCCTCCTCACCCCAACATACTTCTCATTCAATGACAGCCATCTTATATCAGGTGTGTGACAGTTAAGTTTGGCAACTTGATTGTTTTGAAAGATACCTAAGGGATTAGCAGTGAAGCGCATTTTTGGAAGTGACTGAGTGGATCATAAAGGCAAGACCTTGGAGTCTATATCCCTCTGTCTATTCCTCTGTGGTGATGTTTCCCTGATCTACTTCCTGGCTGCTATGAACTGAGTAATTTTCCTACACTTTGCCTTTCCACCATGATGTTCCTACCTTGGATCCAGCTGACCATGGACTAAATCCCCTGAAACCTGGAGTCAAATAAATTTCTCCTCCTTTAAATTATTAGTACCAGAGATTCTGTCCTTGTTCAGAGAAAATAAATAATACAAGGATTTAATTCTTCAATGGAGTGATCCCTTGTCTAATGGGGATTTAAGCTGACAGATAAGTTCCTTTCTCACTCCAGACAAGAAGTACTGATGTATGTTATGTGGTTTTTCACATGGCTCATGGGATCAAGCACCTCAGTAATGTACCTCATGCTGTCTCTCCCTACTTCAGACTCTCACTGCTGTTTCTTGTGACCTCAATCCCCCCATTTCCCGTTAATGTTTTGATTTCTGGGGAAATCAAGTTAAGACAATCTTTATTCTTTCCAGATTCTAAAATAAATCCACCTGTGAGCTGAAAAACATCCCTTGCCATCTCCTAAGAGACTTTCTGCTTTAAAGATAGCCTCATTTATTCCAGCAAATAGAATTTTAACAGTTTTATGGAATATATCCTAAATGCGTCAGAAATCTCATTTTTTGGAGCACATCTCATACATAATTACCTCCATATAATGGAGAAGACAAGACTTGAAGAATCAAAGTGATATTTTCAGTCCTTGTGATGATTTTCCAAAGCCCCAAAGTGGTTTGGCATTAAACATCACCTTCGTAGCAACGTTCTCCATGAGGTTAACTGGATCCATAAGGTGGCGTGGTCCGTCTCCCTCCATGACAGTTAGAGCACATCTAGTGAT